GACCTTATCAATAAGCGCAAGTCAGCGCCGAAAAACACTTCAAAACTGTTTTCTCGCATTGATTAGCTTTACGCTCGGCTCGGTTTTCAGAGTCCACTCTACAGATATTGACAGTACTGAAACGAACTTGAATCATTTATTATAAAATGGCTTGGAGAGATTCTTTGCCAACAGAGCAATTAGAGCTGCTAAATAAAATCATCATTTTTTGCAACTTTCGAGGTGAATTAACGTATAGTCCTAACTTGGCACCGAAAGACTTCTTTTTATTTTCGTACGTAAAAAATAAACTAAGAGGTCAACGTTTTCGACATCTGAAGCGGCGGTTGATGCGTACAGAAAGCATGCTTTGAGGATACCTCAATCAGAGTGGCAAAAGTGCATCGGGAATTGGTTTAAATGTATGCCAAAGTATTTGAATATATTGAAAAACAATAAAGCGAGTTTCGATGATAAATATTTGTTTTTGTTCTCTAATCCCGAAATATGAAAGACAATCTACGTAGTACTACTGAGTAATAGAACATTATAAACAGCAGAAGCTCTGGCAGCTGGAAGGAGAGATCAAATATAGGGATAGTTTACACCCAATCAGTTTTACTCGGAGATACGATCGTAGCCTAGAAGAATGACATATCTCAGATATATCAAATACCACAAGGTATACACATAAATACAAAGATACATTGCAAGAAGTTGCTGCCACGCGACGGGAAATGGAAATTTTTGCATGTAAAAATCAAACTAAACCAAAATTAGGAAAGAAAACTCGGGTTAGACGATAAAAATCATTTAATTTCAATGGGTCGGTAAGGCAACATTAAACTATTTTTATTTAAAAATAAGATAAACTGATAAGTACTATGTGTCAAATCAGTCTTGCCTTAATTTTTAGTTGTCGAAAACGATTTTTAGAGCTTTTCCTTTTCAAAATTATATTATTTAAAAACATGTGTAAATCTTTCACATATTATCATCTTCTCAATGACTTTTAATTACTCTTATATACATAAGTATTTCTGTCTGTTTGTAGAAGTTAAAGCTTTGTCGCTTTAAATTTTCCACTTACGATTATCAACAACAGCCTAAGTATGCGTTTTAAGTCGACTATCGTTGGCGTCAATTTTAATATAAAGTTTCTTCAGAGTCGAAAGCCTTTTTTTCTGCGCTCTCTTTTTACTTCGCAAAATTTTTGTATTTAGATATTTTGCCACCATCTGTCCTCTTCGTTTCCGTTTGCGTTGATACTTCTCGCATTCGCTGCCGTTATGTCAGTAAAATTATGTCGTTACTGAGTTTCAGCTTTGTGTAAAAAATTTGAGAAATTTCCATAAGCTCCAGTCAGCGATTAGTAACATACAGACCAAGTTCCAACAACGTCGACCGCCTAACCACAAGCAAATTCAACACTCGACACCCAACAAAGCACGCAACGCAACTTCGGTGCGCCCGCCTTCGTTACAATGTGCGTTGAATTGCTCCTACGTCATGGCAAGCAATTTTCAACTTTGCCATCATCCATTTACATAATTTGTCGGGATTCATAGTGGGCTTATCTTCTTCGTTGACTTTGCAGCAGTTGCCTTTGCTTGGCATGTCGCCGTTGAAAATTAAATGGATGTGGCAAAATATAAGCTCGTATATGAGTTATATGAGCATAATTTTATAAACACACACATATATATTTTTTATATAATATTGTATTATATACATATACATATATATGGCATCTACAAACACATTAATACGTACAGGCGCATTTAGTTATTACTTGAGGAGTGGGGTAGGGGCGGCAGCATCACGGATTAGCTTACACATTGTATTAAATGGCCTGAAGTAAGAAAATAAGCAGAAGCGGAAAAATTGTAATTCTTCAAATCCCAGTGATTTTATCACGATTTCGTAAATTGTTACAATTCGAGTTGTTTTGCTTATTCTTTGACTTTAATGGCGGATGAAGCAATAAAAGCTCAAGCTATTGTATTAGGCCTGTTTGCATTGCTTTGCTTTACTATGCTTCGCCTTTTCTTTTATTTTTATTAATACCTCATTTTTTTAACGTATGATTTGATTTTCGGCGTCAACGCCACATGATTTTGTGCGTCTGCACAGATTCGATAGGTAGGTAGCATGTACAAATACGGACTATAACAAGTAAGAAATGTCTAAGTTCGGGTGAAACCGAACATTTTATACTCTTGCAAAAATCAAAGCCGGGGAAATACTATATAAGTATTGGCAAAACTTTATATTAAAATAATCGACGAAATCGTGAAAAAATTAGAATAAAATTTAGTATTTTATCAAGTTATAATATTTTATATAAATTAGTTTTATAACTATATTTCCATCCCCGTCAGTGAAAATTATTTTAAAATCATCTTTACATAAGAAATATGTGATATAAACTCAACTGAAGAGGCTACCTAAATTTAATATATTGAGTTGATATGCAAAACGTCAATAAGAGAATCGAAATTCTTTATATTATGGTTATAAGTTTTATACCAAGGTCTAGACCTATTCCATTTACATTTAGTGCTAAACCACATATGTAATTTTCAAGGAAACTTGTCCATTTTATGTCATTATCACATTTCGGGCAACCTGTACGGTTAAAAGTCAGGTGCAAAGTCGGAAATCATTATCACATATATGCTATATTGGCGGCAGAGAAAGGGATGCCACATACCAATAATATGCTTCCTCAGTTTCATTAAGGTACATTTACTATCGCCAATTTAAATTAACCGGATTTCGAAAATCGTGATATTACTTTTATGGGATCTAGGGCAAGTTTTCACACGATTTTATCGATTTTATGCACAAAAATACATTGTTATTAGTAAAACACGCTTTCTTGTTTTCTAAGGTAACTCACATATTGGCCGATATATATGGTATAAAGTAAACCGGAAGTTCGAAAATCTTTGTTTTAGGTATAAGAGAAGATTCCTGTACGAACGCGGTATCTGAGGGCTGGAACAGTTGTAGTCGGATTTTGACAAATTTTGGCTATAAGATGACCTGACCGCACTAATCGGGCATAGTTTTATCCCGATACATTCACTGGAGCTTGATTTGCATACTGACAAGTGAAAGGATCAGATGGAATTTAAAAATGTTTCATCGGAAAAGTGCGTGGCTTTTCTGAAAATATTTTACGCCAGTAAATATTTTATATTTGTGTTTTGACAGCACAATTCTGTATTTAACAACCTCAAACAGCTCACGCTTAAAAAAAATGAAATTGCAATAGAAAGTGCTAAACTATACAGTTATAGTTATAAATTTTTATTGCATACGAGTATAATAGTATCTTGACGAGAACACAAAATAATTAAGGCAACAGGAGAAATTATAACCACTAATAAAAGCAAATAGTTTGCAAGAAATATAGAACGAAATATTAACTTATGTACTTGTATAGTACAAAAAAACGGAAATTAAAAACTTAAACTATGGGAAGAAAACGAGAGCGCTTGGTTATCGACACTTGCAGCAATACTTTAACAAATTTAATTTTTCGGGTTCTTTTTATATCTCTTAATTGTGCAATTTAGATGCCATTACCTTATTACTTAAACTTACTGCAACAAATGAAAGTGCACGTTATTCAGCAGAGTAGCGTAATCGCGTTCGTACATGTATTGTATTTTTTGTTTTTAATTCTTGGAAAAGAAATACTAAATAGCAATAAACAGTTTTTGAAACAACAAAATTATATACACATGTACACAACTCTTTGCAATAGGTATATAATAAATTGAATCTTAAAATCATTCGCATAGGAAAAAAAAAATATATAATTTACAAATTTGTACCAACATTTATAGTTTTATAAATTTTACATAATCACAATAATACTCATATGAATAACATCGCTACAACAACAACATTTAGTCACGTCCGTCTGTCTGCATATATGCGAATCAGTCCCTTAGTTTTTTAGATATCGATCTTATATTTTAAACGTGAGTTTCTCCCAAAGATTCTGTTCATTCGTCGGAACCACCGATATCGGACAACTATATCAATATAGCTGCCATAGATACTGAATTGTCAAAATTAAGTCCTTGTATGGAAAACTTTTTTATTTGTATAGTATTATAGCATAGATGCAACCGAAGTTAATTTTTTTTGTGAATCGAAAAAAAGCTATTTTCCCATGTTAATTATATGAGGAACTAAAATAAAAATAGCGACCCCTTAGAGTTGGACAATAAGGCTTTTGTTTGGAAGATGAATATTTATGTATCATATTATATTGCATTTAAATTTTTATACATTTGTAGATACTTTTATTTTAGGCGATATCGCCCTCGAATTTCTAGTTCTTTTTACGACTATTCAGTTTTTTATCTCAATTTGATCATTATTACATAGTATATTTTACATACATACATGTATGTATATCCTTGATATTATGGGTGCGTTCGAGCTACGTAATAATTGCAGCAGTACAGCTACTGTGTTGCAAAAATTTAGTGTTGCCGATTATTTGCATAAATTGCGTGCAGAAAGTGACAGTAGAACGTGATGCTGTTGCAACTGTTGCCAAAAATTCACGCAGAACGTGATACTTTGACAAATTTACAACATTGCTGTCGTGATTGCCATCTCGAACGCATCCCATATCTCATTTTTTTAGTTTATTATTTTTACCGAAACCCAAATCTTAGGAATACGTGTATTTATATTAAAACCAAATTTCAAATATAATTTAACCTCGTTTTTATAACGATGGTCTCTCTCCAGAGTTAGAGTTACCGTTACTGGTCAGGAGTTAACAGTATGAGAATAACTGATAAGAGATTATTAGCAGTGTCTCCAAAATAATTTTTTATAAACTAGAATATATTATATTATACACTACGTTATCAACAACGAAGATATGTATATAATTGAAAATATGCAACTTGAATAACCTTTGATTCTATGCTAGAAATGTTCTCTAGTTCAGTTTAATTTCACCAAGAATATATTAAACGCCTACTCACCTGTGAATTTGCGTTGGACCAGACGCCATGCGCTGCTGATAGGCTGAAATATTAGCCTGTTGTTGTTGCTGTTGATGCTGTTGTTGCGCACTGTTACTGCCGCTATTATTATTTTGTTGCTGTTGCTGTGCAGCTGATTGCTGCGCTTGCGGTGGTTGGTGATGATGATGAAGGTGTGTGGGTAGATTGCCAAGTGGTTGATGATACTGCTGCTGCTGTTGTTGCTGTTGTTGTTGTGGCGATGGTCCATTATCATGCAAGTGCGATTGTTGCTGCGGATTACCGCCTCGTTGCTGTTGTTGTTGTTGTTGGTGGTGGTGCTGTTGCTGTTGACCACCTGATGTGGGTGGTGGACCACCAACCTGCACTGTTGAGCGTATGGCCGCTTCCATTTCATGCCGAACTTCTGCTCCCGCTACTGTTGCTGCTGCCGGTTTTGGTGCTGCTGCTTATGCTGCCGCAACAAAAGGCACACCTCATCCCGGCGATGGCGGAATATGCAAGAATTCTATTGCACTTACTATAGCAGCTCGTTTTGTTATGGATTTCAACAAACACACAAAAACATAAACGATTTTTTTAAAGGGAGAGAGGCAAGTCGACAGCGCTTATTAGAGGCTTCAACCGTCGTTACAACCTGAATGAACTGAATCAAGTTGATTAGAACGGAAACGACGCGATTAAACTATATCTGAGCGACGGAACACTACTAATTGCGCAGTACAGACCACAATACACACTCACGATATTGGACACGCACGCGCTACAACCACAGCCCCGGACCCCCCAAATATACCTTCGTTGCTGAAAACTTCCACCAAAATTGCAATTTTAACTTTTGTACAACATCAATGCCATATAATAAAAAACTTTGTATTTTTTAACACTTGTATAATTTTTTTACTCAAAAGCTATGCACTTTCTCAAACTGACCTGATCCTGATGCTTCTCTTGCTGCTGAAGATAATTATAATTATTTTATAATTATTTATTTCTCAAAATTTTATTTTCTTACTATAGCTTTGATCTTAGCCACTATATTTTATTTTTTATTACCTTTCTAATTCACTTAAATTTCCCATAAAACCACTTGCGATTAAAATAAATATTAATAATTTTTCATTATTTAATTTTTATAATCAATATAATAGATTAAATGACTCTTTATAGCTTATTTATTTTTATATTATCGGAATATTTTTTGTGGATTTTGAATTAAGTTTTTTTTTTTAGATTTTTTTATGAATTATTTTTACAAGAACACAAGTTTTCTCCAAAAATATGTATGATATTTTTAAATATATATTTATAGCGGAGAAAAACATTTTATTTTATTTCCTCACATCCTGTTGAAAAAAAAAGAAAAAATATAAATTAAAATTGTGATTATTGATATTAAAATAATACATTATGGAATTTTGATGATAACGATTTTTAATTTTTGATTTAATTCAAAGGAAACAGAAATTGCGCAGTGAAAAAGTGGTTACGAAGCCAAGTGCATAAATTAACTCCATTGTCTGCAGCAGTTGCGTTTGTTGGTATACCAGCAACACGTTAAAGAGTAGGCTATGTGTGACAGATACACATAACACAGTGATTTAAAATTTTAAATGATTAATTTCAGGTTGAAAAAACTTTAAATACACACACGCCGTAATTTATTTCAATTTTATCATTCGGTATTTGATTTGTATTCATACATACATATGTATATATGTACTTCATTTCACATTTTATTATATTTCACATGTTACTGGTTATTGGACAGCCAAAGCCTAAATTGATATAGTGCTGAAAAAGAAAGAATAAAGGCATAATTAGTAAGCAATGTTTATATTATTTATAAAAAAATTTCATTATTTATTTAATATAAATAATAATTACAGATAAGAATATAATAATAATAACAATTATTAAATTATATGTATGTTTGGATTTTCACATTTAGGGCAAAGTTTTCATATACCAGTTGTTTTTATTACATACTTATGTATGGATAAATTCCATATTAAAACTCATGCTGCCGAACTTATAATGAGTTTTTCACAAATGAATAACAGTCATTAAATACAGTAATTCATAGAAAGTTATGTTTTAGAAAATCTAGTATAAGTTTACCGAAAAGTGGTAATGTTTTTCAAAAAAAAACATAAAAACAAAACTAAATAAATTCAATTAAGAACTTTAGATAATTGTAGATGATAGAACTAACACAAATACAATGGTGTGCACAGTGCTGAGGAAGTTATATTATCGATTATCAATAAACAGCTATGAACTTTAGTCAAACGCTAGTATTTCAAACAAATGCAGAATGTAATGATGACTCTTAATACTTAGGGCAGAGATTAGGTAACTGAAAGTTTCCTAATAATTGACTGTTTCAAAGTAGAATTTGTGTTGAGCAAATAGAATATGAGCTTTGCTTTTGGAAAGTTCAGATACGAACTATGATAAGCTAGATGAATTCACTTAACTTAGAGTTCAAACAGTTTATGATTACACAAAAGTATTGCTTAAGTTGTGAAATCCAACAATATTTCGTTGTTCATAGATAATCAGCTTACAAAAGCAGACATGTTTTTGTGAATTTCTTGTGACAATACAGATAAAATCTCTTTATTAAAACCAATGGTACATTAAAGTATGACATTCGAAGAATGTTATGAAAAAAATTAACGATGACATGCCATATAAAAAAAAATATGGCAATGGCAGAAATTATTCGAAAGTGTCTCGGATAAAAAAGGTTGCGATGCCCCTCATAGCTTATCTCATAACTTGGTTATGTATCGTCCGAAATTGAAAAATCAAGATTCATTCATAAGATAATAGTTTTTTTCAAGGTAACGCCAAGCGATTTTTTCGAATTAAAAATTTTTCATTTTTTTAGAACTCTTCGAAGGAAAAAAACGCGAATTCTTGCGAAAAATTTGGTTAATTTGTTATGTAAAATAAAAATTGTAACAACACTAGCTCATAATATATGTATGTACAGAAGTAGTGTTCAAAATGTCAAAAAGAGCGGTGCAGTAGTTTTGATGTTAGGAAGACCACCGATTTTGAAAACGTGAGCTGTGGAGAAAACACTAAAGTTTATAACAATAAAATATTTGATATAAAACGTTCAAGTAAAACACAAGTATAAAAACTTCGTCAATCCAAATCCAATCGACATGAAATTTAGATACAACATTTTTGAGATATTATGCATTCATGTATTCAAAAACAAGTATCGCAATTAAAAATAATATACAATACAAAAAAATTTTAAGCAAAATTACAATTTAAAGTACTCAATACAGTTACAGATGTTTAACAATTACAATTTATATACCCAAATATTTATTTTTAAACATACAAATTATATACATATCAATCTGCTTACTTGCCAACGAGTGTTGAATTATATTCCACTCAACTGATCTATAAGCAATGAATTGAATGTAGAAATTAAATTGGTTTGAATTGAAGCGAAACTGAAACTGTAATTGCAGACAAAATGTATGAGTGTAGTACAACAATGACAATTTTCACCCAGGCAGCGAAACGAAAAAATAAAATAACATTTAGAAATGCTGAAGAAAATTAATTTAATTGGCAAGTGTTCGTTTTTTATTTTATTTTATTTTCTTTGTTTCTTTTTTGATTCTTATGGCCCATACTTCTCATTTTTTTCTTATTTTCTTTTTTTATGGCGTCTCCAATTAGACAGCGCCGAGTGCCAGTTAAGCTTTTTAAATTAACTTGACTATGCAAATTGAACTTGTAAACTTCAAGCAATGAAAAATATATCTTTGCCTACATTAAGCAAAAACAATATGCAAAAACGTGTATACACCTTTCACAAATATAAAAAATTTCATAGAAGAACTTTATTCGATTCGGAAGAATCAACTTTGTTAGACTTTACGTAAAGAATGCCATTCTTGGTATTTCACACCTTACCGATAATTTGCTTTTGGAGAAAGCATAAGCATTGACAGCAAGAATGATAGAAAATAGCATTACAATGTCAAACTTGGTTTATGTAATCCCGAGAGCACCGTAACTGTTGGCAATCAAAATAAAAGCGTGCGGGAAAACTTTAATATACCGTCCCAGGCTTTCGGGGATAAAATAGGTATGAGCGAATAGAGAAGATCCTCCAGAACAAGAATATATATAGATATAGCAGCGGGAAGCTTATAGTTTCCGAGATATTTACGTTTAAAGTTGAAAATTTCAACTACTTAAAGTACGCATTTTTTCGATTTTAAATGAAATATACACTTATATTTTTCACTTTTATATCCACTAACAGTTCACTAATTCGTTTGAACACATTTATTTTACATTATCTTGTGCAAAAATAGTTTAATTTAATATTTAAATTATTGTTAAATTCAATTAATTCTGACAATAACAAAAGGGTTGCAAAATGTCAAATAACCAGTATTACCTTTTCGACATCTTTTGTAATTGAACTGAAAGAAATGAAAACATATAATACCCCAAATACAGGAATCCAAAATCTAGAAAAATAAACTATTAGAGAGCATTGCTGTTAAGTATTATGTTATACCCTTTATGACAATATTACTTTTTCTTGTAGAACTGGTCGGTCCAACACTGGGGTGTACCAAGGTCTTTTCGCGTAGAACTCCATTTTGCGTTGGCGGCCATCGGCCGCGCTTCAAAAAAATAACCCTGGTCGATCTAACACCGGAGTGTATCAAGGATTTTTTGCGTAGAACTTCTATTTGCGTTGGCGGCCGTCCAAGACCGGGGTGTACCAAAGCTTTTTCGCGCAAAACTTCTTTTTGTGTTGGTTCCTGTATCTTGGGTATAATCTCTCTGTTTAGTTTATTTTTCTTTGTTTGCAAAATATATTAGGATGATAACACTGGTTTTATGACATTTACAACCCTTTTGTTATTGTCAAAATCAATAAAATTGAAAAATTATTCAAATATTGAAATAAAGCTATTTTTGCACTATATAATGTAAAATAAATGTGTACGAACGAATTAGTGAAGTGTTAGTAGAGTGAGAGAAATTAGTGAAGTGAAAAATATATGTAAGTGTATAATTCATTTGAAATCGAAAAAAAGCGTACTTTAAATAGTTTAAATTTTCAATTTTAACGTAAATATCTCTATAAGTTACCGCGCCTATATCTACATACACTCGCCAGAAAAATTATCCGTACACCTCGACATGAAAACAATAAACTGAGAAATTTGTGATCAAATAACTTATTATGTATAAAAATAGTATCCAAAAGTTTTATTCAGTATTTTTACTACACTTTCATGAGTTTTTTTTTAGACATACACTTTAAAAAAAATTTCACAGAACAAAAACAAAAAAGCTCACATAATGAAACAGAAAAAGTATTCGTACATTTTGATTATAATTAAATATAATTAAATTATTTTGGAAAAATTTAATATCCTAATAACTAGTAGGATAGCCCTTACGTTTTAGGACCTCGGCAAGTCGATGTGGCATTGAATGAACTAGTTTGGATGTGTCATGATTTGTAATTTTCGCCCATTCATTTATGATCACATTTTTGAGCATTTCTCTGGAGGTTATGGTGTGTTGGCGGATTCTGCACTCCAGTAAATCCCACAAATGCTCGATGGGGTTGAGGTCTGGAGATTGAGGTGGCGAGCGCAATTGATTTTTTATGTTATAAAGCAACCAAAGCCTGGTATTGTGCGCCGTGTGCTTAGGATCATTATCCTGTTGGAACCAAAAATCATCACCAAGCCCTGACTGCTGAGCACTTTCCTTCAAATTATTTTTTAAAATACTTAAATAGCCGAATCGATCCATTATTGTATCCATAAAAACGAGTTTGCCTACTCCTTCTGCCGCCATACACCCCCATACCATTACACCTCCTCCGCCATGTTTGACGGTAGGTAAAAGATTTTCTTTATCAAGTGCAGTACCACTCTTACGCCACACCAACTTTTTTCCTTTAATGCCAAAAGTACAAAACTTGCTTTCGTCGGTGAATAAGAGACGTTCCCAAAACTCCCGATGCTTGCTGATATATTTGTTTGCAAAATCCATACGTTTCTGTATATTTACTTCGGATATAAAGGGCTTCCTACGCGCTACACGTGCATGATACCCATCTTTCTTCAAAAATTTTCCGCTGAATTTAAGTAACTGTGTTTAGTTTTTGTTCTGGAAATTTTTTTAAAGTGTTTGTCTAAAAGTAAAAAACGTATGGAAAGTGCAGTAAAAATATTAAATAAAACTTTTGTATACTATTTTTATACAGAATAAATTATTTGATCACAAATTTCTCAGTTTATTGTTTTCATGTCGAGGTGTACGGATAATTTTTCTGGCGAGTGTATATATATTCTTGATCTGGAGGATCTCCTCTATACTAAAGCAGACCCAAACGTACTAAGGCAAAACACATTTTTTATTATGTGAAGCCTTAATTGAAATTTTCTAAACCCACAGGATTACTTAAATATAATATGTACACAAATATGTACTTATGTAAAAAAGTATGTAGATACATATGTACATATGTATTTACTCTTACTTGTCAGTACGAACGCCATGTGGAATAGTAAGACTTTAAAAAAGTCGAATAACATAAAAATGCAACGCAAGAAGAAAGCGGAATTAAATTAATTACGATTAAGAAACAAGAAGAGTAAGAGAATAAATAAAAATGCGACCGAATCAATTGTTTAATGAAAAAGAAAATAAAAACACTTAAAATTCACAAAAACCCATACGAAACCGTTCATTCAGCTGTTGGTGATGACTTTGAGAGGGGCAACAGTTGCTGCACAGAGAAAACAACAAACAAGAAAGCAACGTCAAGAGCGCAATGTGTGTCGAATGACTAAATCGGAATAAAATCAACGAACAAAAAATTAATACAGAACGAAAATATACATACATAAAACAAGTATAATCTAAATACAGAATAAAAAATGAGAGAAAAAATACACAAGTATCACAACACTAACAGCAGCAGCAAGAGCAACAAAAAAATTACATGAAATCAAAATATCAATAGCAACGTTGCCAAGTTTACATCCAACACTCATGCGAACACCCATACATAGCGCGCTAGTGAAAAGATAATGGCATATAGTCTCATGCTTTAGGGGGGACGAGTGAACGTAAACGAGTGTGATACAAACGTATAAGCATAGGTACATACACTCATAACATATTCAAAGATACCCGTTCATACATACGTATATAACCGTAACTACTCATGCTGGGAAGCAAGCAGTCCGGCAATCGACGTCATACCCAACGTTGCCAAATTTCACAGCACGACTACCAACGGCAACAGACAGTGGCAGCTCAGTGAAGTAGGCATATAAACTTTGAGAACAACGAGTGTGCTTATGCGCTTACTAACAAATATACAATCGGAAATATGTATACACAAGCACATAGCCTACACTAACGAATAGACATTGCCATGTGGGTAAGCGATGTAGGTACTCGAATGTGCTTATATACGGCTATGCATGATTATACGTACGTGTATATAAAAATCAACCACAATAAAAGACGGCAGACAGCGAGCGAGTATATGGCGGCAAAAATATACCATTTAATGATAGCACAGCAACATAAAAACAAGGTACAACCAAGCCGAACGTTCAAACCGGCAGCGACAACAAACACAAAATATAAAGAATACGAAAAAAGCAATGTACAATTCAAAAGAACAAAAAGACAAATATAAAAGAAGTATGTAGGATATACATACATAAATAAATAAGAGATGTGGAGACGCAATGGGACGGGCCGGTACGGAATGCGTTAAGAACATATATACGTAATATATATACATACATATACAATTATATGTATATATTTACAAACTACTATAAACTGACTGAGAAACTTGACCGGGATGAGAAAGGTGAAGACAAGTTAAGAAAAAAAACAGAAAAACAAAAAATCAAGGCAAGCGGACAACACGGCAAAAGTAAATATGCACACATGACGATAGATATAGCAATGGCGATGAGGACGACGACTATTGTAACGATAAATGCTAACGGACGGACAATAGAGTGAAGGCGAAATGTGGCAACGTGGCTACTGATACTGGATAAAATGACAAAAAGAAGAAATGCAACGAACGACAGTCAAAACAAGTACACTACTGTGATAAGCAGGAACAACTTAGTAAGATCACGAAGAGGCTATCGGTAGAGTGCAGCAAGTGTATGTACTTGTATGTATGTACACAGATGCTGTATTTGCACTATCGAGTGAAGACCATAGGATGTGGTGCAGCAAGCAACAACGACAACAACTGGCCCTAAAACGAGTCGAATATAAAAATAAATAGCAAATAAGACTTGAAAGGTTAAAAAAAAAAGTGAAATATTTGAGAAATAATAAACAGGCGACTGGCAAGCAATCAGAGGCACCATAGAAAGAGAAGCAAATTGTTTTACTTAGCAGCTCAGAAAATAATAGGGAAAGGTAAAGTAGTGTACTATGTACGTATGTATGCATGATACATATTTTCTGACAGACGCGACCTCAATGTCCAAGAAAGGAGGCAACAACTGTAACCACCAGCCAAAGTAATCCTTTTTATGTGTGTGCCTTTATTATTTGTGCATCTGCAAACAAACGAGCCAATTCCTAAAGAATCATGATGGATGCACAACCTAGGTGATTTTTCCGAGTTTTACAGTGTGTAAGCCTCCCACAAGCGAAAGGACAACACAAACGAGTAGAGTAGTATGACAAAAAAGTGTAGATATTTAAATAATGGTTATATATGTAGATAAAAATACATATATTTACATAAAACATATGCGTATATATGTTATACGAATACACCTAGAATGTTAGTTTTTATATACATATAAGGTCTACCGGAAAGTCCGTCTGTCCGTTTTTTTTTTTAATTTTTTTCTTACCGCCCATTAACTTTATTGAATAATATAACTACCATTATTATTAATGATCTCTTGCCAGCGTGAGGGCAATTTTGGAATAATGTCATCTTTTGATGCCAAAAATTTAACCAGTTCTTGTTTGACATGTTCTTAATTTTTGAATTTTTTGCTCGTCAAAAAATTGTGTAAGGACAAAAACAAGTGATAATCAGAGGGTGCTATGTCCGGGGAATATGGTGGGTGCGGCAGAATTTCCCAGCCTAATTCTGCAATTTTTTTTGACGAGTCAATTTTTGACAGTGGCGTAAATGAACTTTATCAGTCGCCATGGGTATACTATCGTTTCACACTTAAGACTAATATGAATCAATTTTATTATAGTTTATTTGCTACGTCAGTATGTATACATTAAGCGATAAAAATATAGAGCCGAACATGCAATAAACATGTGCTTACGTGGCGAAAATGATGTCATAGATTCGGACAGAACTTTCAGGTAGACCTAATATTTATGCATACACATTATTGAGACTTGTTTATAAATTTTTTAAAAGATTTTGTACAGAATTAGGGTACACTGGTTAACTCTATAACTTACTTCAATAAATCAATTTAATGTAAAATTTAAAAAGAATTTTACAACAATCCATCAAAATAGATTAAGAAAAATTTTATTTTATAAATAATCACACCTTTTAAAAGCTGTAAGTAAATTTCCTTGAAACAGTTTACTTTAACCACTGCTCTTTATTCATAAGGTCATCCATCACTCGATGCCTCTAATTAAAGAATTTTGAGATATACTCGTACATATTTATTTGAGACAGTTCGATATTGCAAAGGACCGATATTTCAGCAATCTCGGCGGCGAGGCCTCACCTCTAATCCCGGGTTATTGCATTTGTGATATACTCTTAATAATGTGACAGAAACCCCAAAGATTATGATGCATATTTCAATATAAAAAAATGTTTTCCCGCGCACAAAAGCATACAGTTTTTAAATCTTAAAGACAGCTGATTCATACAGTATTTTCTGTTCAAATCTATTTCACCTTTTAGATATGAACCTTGAAATTAGCAGGTACGTTATTGTGGAGTAAGCCCACGTGCTTACCGACTCTGAAATTCAGTAGTTGGAAGAATTAATTTGTATGTATATATATTAAGGCCGACTTAGAAAACGTCAATTGCAATATATAAGAACAAAGTATAATGTTCATCCGAAATATTTTTGACATTGAATCATGCTTTTAAGGGCCTTAAGGGGTTACATGGGTTTCGTCGGGAAAAAACGGCCTATTTTCAATAATTTTTTTTAGATAAAAAATTATTTGTTTAATTCAAATTTTTTTCTGTTTTAAAGATACATATTTAAAAAATAATTTCTGAGATAAAAAAAAATTAAAACTCCGCCATTGTAACGTCATTTCCGGTGACCCCTCGAAAAAAACGTGCGTCCGCGTTGTCAGCATAACTCCTGACAGGATCATTTTAAATGAAAAAAAAATATGTGTTTTAGTTAAGATCATAAACTCGTACTTGAACGAAGGAAAAAAAGTTAAAATTGGAATTTTGGCAGACCTTCGTCCAAGTACGAGTAAATTGTATCTCAAACACCTGTATAAAATTTCATCAAAATCGGTTAAGTAGTTCGCGAGAAATCTTGACAACCGACTTTGAAAACACAGCTTCGAGAAAAACGCGTTTAAAGTTTTAAGTGACAATATAGCTGACCTCGAACGCGCAATTTTTCAAAGCTGTATTTCCAAACCTATTACTGATATCAACTTGAGAATTTGGGACAAAATTCTAGATATGTTATAGAATTAAATAAGACGATAAAAAATTTTTTTGAAGAACGGAAGAAATAATTTATTATTAAAATATTTGGTTTTAATTTTAACATTTTTTTGATTATAGTTTCGCAAAAACAAAACAGCTTATTGCGAAAGTAAACTTTGCAGTAAAAGTGTTCTGTAACGTCAAATTATACAGCGCATTATTTTTCAAAGTTTTTTAACGTTGCATACCGACGATGTACGAGGTCTGTTCAAAAGAAAAGGTAAATTTTTTTGGAAAGTACTAATTTATTCATCAATATCTATATTGTCCAATCCTTGAAGCAATTCGCTTTTCGGTATGGCCATCAGCTCTTTCTTCGATTCTGACCTAGCTTTCCTTTCATTTACTTCATCAGTTTAGGGAATAGAAAAAAGTCGCAGGGAGCCAAATCTGGTGAATACGGTGGTTGAGGCTTGATTACGGTTTTATTTCGTCCTCCTGAGCTATACTAATGCGACATTGCTTTTGCTCACAATTTTGCAGATTTGGAACAAACTTCGCTGCCACATGTTTCATGCCCAATAAATTCGGGAAAATTTAATGGAATGAGCCGATTAATATGCCAACATCCACTGCAACTTCCCTAATAGTGATTCGATGATTTTCAAAAACAATTTTTTTCACTGTTTCCATGTTTTCTGCAGTTGTTGACGTGGTCGCACCTCCAAGATGCTCATCGTCATCAACACCTTCTCGGCCTTCTATAAAGCGTTTGTACCACTTATATTTATTAAGACAAAGTAAACTCATCGAATGCCACAGTCAACATTTCAAATGCCTTCGAGCACTTTATTCCATTTTTAACGCAAAACTTAATACGTATTCTTTGATCCATTTCTTTCAAAAGTCAAAAATCGAAGAGCATACATATAAGTGACTAACCTTTTCTGTTGTCAAAAACAAACTACTAATCGAAATTGGCTCCTAATGCAAGCACATTATAAACATACATATGTGTCCGATTATAACAAAAACAAAATATCGATAATCGAATGTCACAGCCCGCGAAAAATCAAAATTCCCCTTTTTCTTTGAACGCACCTCGTACTCGTATAAATACTGTAGTGATACTTTGCAGTAGTACGTTTTCGAAGTCAGCCTAACTGTCATTAAAATATGTATACATCCAACGATCCGTTCATTTGAGCTAAGTTTGCAATAGATTATGATGACCCATTGGCAGTTATTTTTTTGTTACTACTGACGACCTTACATCAAACAGCTCTTAATATATATTTACATTAATAAACTAAACGAACAAGTGATAGCCATTGGAAACAAGTATATACCTGCGATAGCCAGTTTTACGTAACCGGAAGGGACCCGGACTGTCAACTCGGCAGCATTCCTGCGAATTTCTTCAGGGTTGTTTTCTGCCGCTACAACAACAACAGTATATACCTAGTAATAATAGATCAATTCCACATTTCACCGTATAAATTTCAGACTCCATAAATATTTCAATAGTCCTATTCCATAAGGCTATTGATGTATAGTTGCCGGTCTAATTGCTCCAGCTACTAGAATAATTTTGCTTTGTGTATGGTTATCGATGTCAGTATACATAACTACGAAGCTAACAACCTTAAGTTTACATTTTTTTGAAGCATTATTTAAAGTATTTGACAGCTTTGCTAAAATTTGTGTAAGAATTTTAAGATTATACATAAAGAAAAAGAAAAGAATGAGCTTCATTTTAACTAAAAACCGTTGTGTTTTGTAGATATTAATAATATTGTAAAGCTGATTAATTTATTTAAATATAAAGTATGCATACATACATATTTTCATAAAATATATCAATGAACTTAAAACAAAAACTCACAAAACAGCTACTAGCTGTTAAGTTGCCCATAGTTAGTACCCGGTGGCATAAGTTAAATTCTAGCATTCCATTATCAAATGGGGTGTAAATTAACAAATTAATTAAGGAGTATATAAACAATATAGTATATAAATTTATAGAAAATTCAACAATCTAACTCAATTTGTGTATTGCCGTAGAACATTTTATGGAACGGTTTCTCTGATATTGATGTAAAAACTGATTTAGAGCTTATGTTAGGCCAAATTTTAGACTAAGATATTGGGTGCGTTCGAGATGGCAATCACGACAGCAGTGTTGCAAATTTGTCAAAGTACCACGTTCTGCGTGAATTTTTGGCAACACTTGCAACAGCATCACGTTCTGCTGTCATTTTTTGCACGCAATTTATGCAAATAATCGGCAACACTAAATTTTTGTCTGCACATCAGCAGAGATCAGAAAATATGCAACACAGTAGCTGTACTGCTGCAATTATTACGTAGCTCGAACGCACCCATTTTTTTACACAATGTTTATTTACATGAATCAAAAAAGTAAGATCCATAGACAAGCACCTCGGTTTTGTATTGGCAAATGTGTTAAGTTTCGATTGTCTGCATTTGATAAACATTAAATGTTACTTCGGTGGCGTAAATTATTCATAAATATACCAGAACGTTCTTGTAGCACAAATAATTTTGAGAATTGCTGAGTTCATAATTTACGGACTGATAAAAATTCAGACCTGTTCCGGTTACCCACTTCTAGCAAGTGAACCTCATTATTGTTCTATTAAATTTTAATTTTGATTTCTTCTCATGCATATCTACATATATATTCTAGAAATCATTTTGTATTCAGAGTTTACTTCCAAAACGGCAAAAATAATTGTTAATTGAATTTACATATTATTTTGAGCGTTCATAATTTGTTAAACTGAATTACCAATAATTTGCTTAAAATTGTGTAATATTTCTTCAACCAAATTTAGCTTCTATTCCAACAATAAAGATACCTTTTAAACAAGTAAGAAAGAGCTAAGTTCGTTTGTAACCGAACATTTCATACTCTTGGAACCTTCGAGGATCAGAGCCAAGTAAATACCTTCAGGTGTTGGCAGTATTAAAAAAATGTGGCGAAAGGGTTCAACTTCATTGTTGGAAGAAATCGTAAATGG